AAAATAATAAAGCAGTTTTCTAATTTTGCCCTACTGAGTTCAGTGTGCTTAATACATTAGTTAAAATCTAAGATAACTACCTGATAATTCCCAGTTCGCTCTCAATGAGTCTTATATATAGGTCTGACATAATAATTGACTTTCTGATCAAAGTAAGGAAAATAAATTATACTAAATTTAATTCATGGAAAATTTCATGTTATTATTTATCATTTCTTCATTTTTGTCATTTTTTTGGCTTACTTAAAATCAGAATAAATATCATGAATATGGAAGCTATGACAGTGCATCTCTCATATCTCCCACTTCAGGGAGCATTACTGACTGACAGCTCCAGCAGCCAATCTCTGAATCTACCACCACATTTGTGAGAAGGTCAAGCTGTCCTCTTCTTGCTCAGCAGATGAACTTGGCTGGTATACTAAGGCAGGCCCATTTCTGTGAGATGTGACACTCTTTTGATGGCTGATCTGCCAAAATTTTCTTAGAAATGCCCTGAAAAAATTTCTTCTAACTTTACCTTCCTTCCTTCCCTCTCTCCTCTGCTGGGGTCAGACATACACCACAGTGAATGGCTTTCCTAGACCTCTCCAACTACCTCTCCATTTTCCCTCATTGGAATTTTCTCCAGTAAATCCCTTTCATGTCTAATCCCATTTGGGGGCTGCTTTTCAAAGGACTCCAACTGAAACAATAGGTCAATAAGATTTTTATTTTTTGAATGAAGTGGTAACTTACTCTTTCTATTTTCAGTAATGAGTTCTATATGATTTTCTCAGACTTTTTGAAGTCCTTTCCTGTATTATCACTAAATCTTATGTTTTTATCCCCATTTTGTACTTGCCACAATGATAAGTTAAAATTTTATTTGTATGAGCTCCTTGAAGTCAGAGAATTTGTGTCTTTGTTCAGTACAATGCCTGGTATATGAGGGCACTTCAAAAAGTTCATGAAAAGATTTGTATTATCTTTAATTCTATTTTTCCATGAACTTTTTATAAGTATGCTTGTATAGTAGACACTCAATAAATATTTTTTAATGATGTATAATTGAAAACACAATTTTCTGAAGCAATTATATGAACACATGCACTTATGAGGCAACATGAATCTCTCAAGACATATAATATGGCATATATTTAAATTTTCCCCTAAACTTCCTATTGTCTGCCCAACAAAATATTAATGAAACAGATAAACAGCAACAACAAAATGTTTACCTAATGATGATGGTTAAAGGTATGGGATACATTCACTAAATATATCATATTAGTTAAAAAAAAAATGAAATTCCAGAATTCATTTTAGAGAAATAAGTTTATTTCAAATACTCTATTTAAAGTATTCTAGAGTGAAAGAATCCTATGAGTAGAATGAGAGAAATATTTTAGAAAGATGGTAACAGATATCTCATGTCAGATTTAGGAAAGGTCACAAGCCAAGGTTGCTTTGTTTGCAGTAAGTCATTTACTTCCAGGAGGACTGGGATTGTGAGTCGTCGTGCTACAGATGGTTAGCAATCACAGATATTGGACAGGCTGAGGGCTTAATATCCACAAATTGCAGAAATAATCATGAGAGAAAGGAGAATATTCAGCAAATTTATCCAAAAAAGAGGGAGCCACAGGCTGGTTGGTAACAAGTTGACTGGCAGCTCCTGGAAGAAAAGCAAGTTGGCGGTAGAAGCTGGACCCACAGCCCAGAGATTGGAAGCCAGTGTTCCCATAACCAAAAGATCCAAATCCAGTGTTTCCATATCCCAAAGATTTACCATTATTTGTCTGGCAAGGATTACAGATGATGAAATTCTTCAGGCGATAGCAGGACGTCTGGTAGGGTCTGGCCACAGTATAGGATGTCTGGCAGCTGGTGGGCTCACAGAAGGCCTCCTGAAAGCCACTGTAGAGAGGAACCCAACTGGCAGGTGCTGGGAGAACAGACTACATTGCTGGGGTAGAAAGAATTATAGGTGGAAACTGGGTACCCCAGGTAACCTCCAAGAGAGCAGGAGGAGAACGTTCCAGAGCTGCAGTTGTAAGACATGGTGTCAGGAGTTCTGTGTTCAGCTGAATTACAGTGAGGAGTCTGTGAGTGTGAGTGCTACTTTCTACACTGGACACATATACTCTAGCAATGGGTGTAGTAGCATATGCCCATATTAAGGAGAACAGTTAATTAGTCTCTGGTCAAAATGAGATACATTAGCCTTCAAAGACCATTTTTATGAATGCAGACTTTTAAATAAAAGAATTTCATTAGATTTTCAAAGCAATTGTTTATGAAACAATAATGCCATTTTGCATTTATCTAGCTTGGGTAGAATGAAAATCACCATAATTGTATCTATAAGATGGATGCTTTATTCATCCTGTTCTTCAAGATATGAGATCAAATGGGTAACATCGTGAGAATTCTGTTGTGTTTAAAGCTCTTTACACTTTGTAGTCTGTAGAGGACATTTATATTGCTCCAACTTTAGGAACCCAGTTGACAGCAGAAAAAAAAAAAAAAAGAAATTCTTTAGTATCTACTCCTTCTCCCAAATTTTGTGAACCTTACTGAAAAAACAACCCCTAATAGGTAGATGTGCTAATTGAGTGCCTGACACATTTGGGTTTAGTTTTCTTATAGCACAGGTAGCTAAGTCACTCTTGTGTACATGAGTATTTAAGAATGAAGTGTCTGGTATTTGCAGAAGTGCTTTGAAGATCACATTGTAAAAATACTTAAGTCAAGGAATCCCTTGCTCTGAAATTGACTTTTGTCTTGATAGAAGTTGTCAATAACTTGATTATCAAAAACCCTCTATCCCCACAAAATGTATTTTTTTGTCATTTTGATATTATTGAAATGATAGAGGGTAGGATTTTTACTGCAGAGGGAAAAGAAAAGGGAGAAATAAGGAAAGTGTCTGTCCCATGTAGACTTCATAGAAAGATCAAGGATTTGAAGAATTCACAGTTACAAATGACCTTTATAATTTGAAATATGGGTGGGGGAAGGGTATCAGAAGAGAAGATTATGTAAAATAGAAAATGAATGCCTTTGGGACCTCTGATGTGGTTCATGTATCAAGTGGCATATTCTGCCTGGAGGACTAGTATCACGAGAATTTTTCTGGACTCACATGAAGTTCACCATAGCTTACTGTAAATAGAGATAGTGCATGGGTATAGGAAATGGCTTAAATAACCTATGGGAATGGGCAAATATCTTAAGATATTCATCTTCAAAACTGACATACCAGCCAGTGGAAATGAGCTGTGACTCATTCTACGAAGAATTAGAAAATGTAGTTGGAAGTTTTAAGGGAAGATTTAGCTGAAAATCTAAAACAAGCTGCTTTTTCAGGTAATGAAATTTCCATCTTGAGGGTACTAGGAATATCTAATCAGGGTATTGTAAATGGGATTCCAATCTGACAGAAGACTGGAGCTAATTGCCATACTCCCTTCCAAATTGCATATTTTCTGAGTCTAACATTTTTGAGTAGAAAAATTGATCTCCAATCATGTTTCATGTATTAGGGAACATAGTGTGTCCTCTGTTTCTAAAGTAAACAATTTTTATTTATTAGGTTTCTTAATTATGAAGAATCACTCTAGTAGATTTCAAACCTTCCCGTTTCATTTGTCAATAAAATATTGAACATCAAAACATTCACATCAATATTTAACTCATCCTAATTGAATTTGCTTACTTATTTCAATGTCATCCATTCTTATATAAGTTATTTCTGTGGAAGAATATCCTAGGAAATCAGATATTAAGTAATTTGGAGAATTCTTTTCTTAAAAAAAAAAAGGATGTTCTTGCATCTAAATACTTTTGTTCAGAAGTGGAAGGAAAATGGTTTTCTATGAAACAAACAAATCAAACAGCACAGAAGCCACAGCAAGATAAAACTCAATCTCCCCTCTTCCGCAAGGCATCAGTCTTCTTTACACTATTACATAGAGGTCAGAGAACAAGAAAAAATATGACCATTATTTTAGAAATGTTTTAAAACTTGTCAGAAACACCTGAAAATGATTAAAATCAAGGTGATGTATGTTGCTTTCTGAGGCAAAAGAAGAATATCCTTAAGATGCTGTCTTTGGCCCAACACTTCAAGGCAAATAACTTGAAAAACTTTCTTTAGAAAAAAGAAAGTTTTCCAGATTCTAGGAATCCTTTCAGTGGGAAACACTGACTCTGATTAGATAGAAATGCATTAAATATTTTTACCATATTTTTTCTTATTTTTAATGCTTTTTCAGCATCTTAGATGAATAATCTCTAACATTCCAAAACAGCACAAAGCAACTTATAATATTTAACTCATACAACAAATTAAAAATGCAAAATGTGAAAGAAAAGCTAAGAATGGCTCTCAGTAATCTAAATACATTTTTAATCAGGAGCATCAGAAATAAAGAAATCTCTCAGTTAATATTTCACTAAAACCATTCAAATTGAGGTCTAATAAAAAAAATTCTAATGCATATTGCATATCACCATTGCTGTTTTCTGATGACACTATTTCATTAGGTAAGCTTGCCACTTTGTAGCAACAATGAATGCATGTTTTTGTTTCAAAGAAATGACTATGTATAGATGAGCTACATGGCGACTCTGCTAGCCAGATGGCAACAATTTTAAGACAGATTGTGAAAGGGGTATGAGTCATTTTTAATTAAGACAGCTTCCTTCATCCCAGACACTGTCTACCTCTAAATCAGTTCTGAGTTATCCCCTGGGTGACCTTTGGTAAGAGAAGATGATTAATAGCTTTTAAGATTCAATGCTATTACTTGAATTCCAAGGCACAAACATTACTGCACTTTCCAGTTGCAAAACCACAAAAAAGTTCATATGTCTCACTATGATGATCTTTTCAATTCAATTAAAAGGGGCAGGTAATCTGTTTCAATGTGTCATGTGGATGACACACCCAATGATAAGGGTATATAAATGCCGCAGACCAAGAATTGACATTAAAACTCAGAATCTTGTCATCGTAAGTCACGTCTCCTGTCACCATGTCTTACAACTGCTCTTCTGGAAAATTCTCCTCCCGCTGCTTTGGAGGCTGCCTGCAGTACCCAGTCTCCTCCTGTGGCTCTTCCTTCCCCAGCAACCTGTTCTATCGCACTAACCTCTGCTCTCCCAGCACCTGCCAGCTGGGATCCTCTCTCTACAGTGGCTGTCAGGAGACCTGCTGTGAGCCCACCAGCTGCCAGACGTCCTGTGTGGTGTCCAGCCCCTGCCAGACGTCCTGCTTCCGCCCGAGGTTCTCCATGTTCAGCGGTCCCTGCCAGACGATTTCTGATGGGTGTCTGGACTTTGGGTCCAGGGGCTTTCAATCTTTTGGTTGTGGCTCCCCGTCCCTGCGCTTTGGATCCAGTGGCTTCCAATCAGTAGGTTGTGGTCCCAATGCTTTCTCATCCCTAAATTACAGATCTAACTTTTTCCGCCCAACCTACTTCTCTTCTAGAAGCTGCCAGTCTACTTCTTATCAACCAGCCTGTGGATCTTGTGTGTGTGTGTGTGTGTGTTTCATGACAGGTAAGGGGATTGCAACCCTTGGCTTGGTGTCGCCTGCACCACGCTCAGCCAGTGAGTGCACCAGCCATTCTTATATAGGATCTGACCCCACAGCAGGAGCGTTGCTGCGCTCCCAGCGCAGCACTCTCCCGAGTGCACCACGGGGTTGGCCCTTCAATTAATTATTATATCTGGAAGAACAAAAGGCATTCCTCTTTTTCTCACCCTTTCTAAATGAAATAGAATTATCACATATTTTTTTTTTAAAGAGCATATGGTATAATCGCTTGAAAAACAAATTACACTTAGACACAAGAGATAGGACAGTCTACACATTTCAATCTTGTGGAGAGACCTTTGCTGTTCTCACTCAGCCAGAAGTGTTATAGCCTGTTCCATGGCCTGGAAGATGCAGCAAAATTCACAAAGCAAAAAAATAGGTGGATTTAGTAGGAAATGTGAGAATTATGGTTAGGTATATGTAAAGTATGGACCTGAAATTGAGGCTGCCACAGAGCATATAAAAAATAATCTAAATGCTCTTGCTACAGTGGTTTGGCCACAGATAGTATTGTTTAAATCTATAACTACTTATTTTACTGGTTAATAACACCTTTCTTTTTAAAATTTTGTAAAAAAAGAAAAGAATTCTTTTAGGAACAATGAGCCAAAAATAAAAGCCCATTTTTAATAAATAAATAAATAAATAAAGTTGAGTACTGAATTTCCACTACTAAAGCAAGTTGGTGGTGAGGACATAACTTGTACAAAAATTGGGGGACATTCACTATTGAATATGAGGGCAGGTGATATCATTGACTACATGAAAAGTAAAAGACACAATTTTACTGAATCACGTCATTACCTACTTCAAAAGATAGTAAAATCTTTAAGAAGACTGCTTCCAAAGATGATTATTTATTATTAGCAGTTGCAAAAGACATGCCAAGATATTACCGTGATGCATTCATCTTCATTTAGGTCAAATAATTTTTTTAAATCATTTTAACTCATGATAAATCCTAAGTTTTCTTGTGAATGTACAAAAACAAATTCAAGCAATCACTGATGATATGTCTATCCATTAGCAGAAGAATAACATCACCAAGGATTAAATAAGTTAGTTTTATATCAGTATTGTCAAATGCTTCAAATAGAAAATGAATTAATTCCAATAATGGTTTGATTTTTTTTTTGGTTTATTCCAAAGAATACAAGTAAAGCTATGGAAAGTTCATAATATTCTTAAAATAATGCCAATGCTTCAAATAGAAAATGAATTAATTCCAATAATGGTTTGATTTTTTTTTGTTTATTCCAAAGAATACAAGTAAAGCTATGGAAAGTTCATAATATTCTTAAAATAATGCCAATGTAAAGTCATTTAAAAGTTCAAAATTGAAGATAAAATTATTTGTTTTCTCAGGAATAATAAAAAGTACACATTTTAGTGAAGGACAACATCATGGTAAAGACAATAAAGTAAGAATCCTATGAAGAAGAAATACATTTGCAATTGTGGTAAATACAGAACTTGCTATTGTGTACAAACAAACTGCAATATTCTATCAAACAAAGCAGAACCTTTTGTATATATTCTAAGTTATGTTGGCAATCCATATTTTTCCTTACCTCATCAATCACCTTTTTCATCTCTGTCATATTATTGTCTATGAGCCCTTATTTTGTTGATTTTTGAGTCATTATTAGTGTTATTTTATGTAGCAAAGCACATGCCAGAAATTTTCTTCTGTTTCTTGCATGAGCTACATATTCTTTGATCTAGATTCTCAATCTTTCTGCATCCTATGCTACATTTTCATCCTACTACTTTACTCAAGGACCTTTCCATGAGTACACCTTGATTTGCTCTGCTCCCATTCAATCCAAGTCAAAAAAAAATGGGAATCTGTTACAGTGTTAATGAGATGTCACAAGAGTTTGGCAAGGTCACTATTCTTGTTTACATTGTTCAGTATTATTGAAGGGAGAACTTGTTATCTATCGTATTGAATCCTAGATCTGAATAAGCTAAGTGACACTAATAATGATAATTAAAATGAATAGTATGTGTCATAGCACTCGATATTTCTAGCAATTTCTTCCTGAGATGCCATCAAATATTTCTCTATGGATCTATTATTTGGTATAAAAATCAATACAAATGTTTTTTAAATAAATTAGTTCACCTTCCTTCGATCTCTGCCCCTGAACTCTGAATTTATTTTTATGTTTACTTTTTAATATGGATACTACTCATAAGGCTAATGAAATAGATCCAATAGTAGCTTGAATCTATTCAGATAAAGCAGTTCCTATAGTACCAGAAATACTAAGGACTCCTTGGTTAAAAAGGAGTTGAATATTAAAAAAAAAAAATTAGCAAAGATCAACAAAACAAGATTCATTCAAGATATCAAATTATGCTAGGTCTTTGATCTATAAACTTTGACAAGTTTCAAATATTTTTTGAGTCTTCATTCCCTCATGTCTGAGAAGGTCTATAGTATACAATATTTGGCTTTCTCACAGGGATGTTTGAGTATTAAATTAAAATGGTGTATCTGATATCTTCTGTGCCCTCCTATATAACATGCTATCCCCTATGAGCACAGCTATGGTGAACAATTTTACGTAGGCTTCAACACTCTGCATGGACAGTATCTCCCTCAAGCATATGCACCACTTCTTTCACTCTGTACCTACACTTCTCCAAGATCACAACTAGGAAAACAGAAGGAGCCCACTGTAAATCTTCCCTTGCACAGTTATGAGGTTCCAAGAAATTATACATCCTGGACTTTGCTCAGCCACTGGGAAATAGAAGCTGATCGATAAATGCTTCTACCTAATGAACAGATCTTGGGGTGGACAATGCTAAGAGTCATTCTATGTGTTGCTAAATAGTCACCGAAGGATTGCTTCTCAGTTACCCATCATAAAATTCACTCCAAAATGTATGCTATCATGAGATTTTTTTCTCTTTGATTGTTTCACTTTCCATGGTCTCTCATATTTGCTTCCCGGGATCTTGTGCCAACTAACTGTGTGAACTCAAGTCTTTAGCTCTGCTTTGGAGAAAAGGAAGACCCAGATTCAGACTAATGAACACAAATGTTTGTTATACACTGCTCAGGTGTATTGCTCTCAGCTTGGTTGAGGTTGAGCCTTGGAGAAGCATCTCCCAAACTCAATTACTGTCACCTAAGATCATTGTGATTCTCCTTACACAGGCTCAGAGATGAGGCTCAGGAATACTCCACCTGTGAGAGGCAGAGATCCTGGCACTTATGCCAACCAAAAAAGAGCAAGCTGTCTTTCCTGTGAGTTGCTTAAGCTTCATTTTTCTCTTGGCTGAAAATCCACACACAAGTACTTTACTTTTATGTAAGTTTTTCTCTAAGAATACAGCTCACATTATACATTATATCCTGTTCTTGCTGTCTGCATTTCCACCTCATGTACAATTTGTTTTCCAGTATCAGCAGAAATGCGTGTACTTCATTCTCAGGCAATTCTTGCTGCTGTTGAGACAAGTCTGCACATGTAAACTATGGTCTGCCAAGAAACAATTACTTCCAAAGGGTACATATCCAACATCAATGGAAATTTGCTCAAATCTATCAAATTATATGTACCCCAAATTCAGTTATAGAGTTATATTGATTTTTACTTAAATCTTACAAATACTTGAATACAAACACTATAGGAATAATAATAATAATAATAATAATAATAATAATAATAATAATAATAATAATAATAATAATAATAATAATAATAATAATAATAATAATAATAATAATAATAATAATAATAATAATAATAATAATAATAATAATAATAATAATAATAATAATAATAATAATAATAATAATAATAATAATAATAATAATAATAATAATAATAATAATAATAATAATAATAATAATAATAATAATAATAATAATAATAATAATAATAATAATAATAATAATAATAATAATAATAATAATAATAATAATAATAATAATAATAATAATAATAATAATAATAATAATAATAATAATAATAATAATAATAATAATAATAATAATAATAATAATAATAATAATAATAATAATAATAATAATAATAATAATAATAATAATAATAATAATAGTGTAAACAATATATTTGGGTGCCAGATCACATAAATTTATTAGATTAAAATTTTCATTTTCAACTGCTTTTGAACAAAAATTAAATAGCATATAATCTATCAATAGTACAGATATTAGGACTTAATTTTGGGTTAAACAATATATTTGGGTGCCAGATCACATAAATTTATTAGGTTAAAATTTTCATTTTCAACTGCTTTTGGACAAAAATTAAATAGCATATAATCTATCAATAGTACAGATATTAGGACTTAATTTTGGGTTACTCATTAATTTCAGAGTCTTCCAGAAGTTGGTAAGAAGCTGGTGACAAAATAATAAAAGGACAGTGGTAACTGGTAAGAATGGAAACAATGGCTGCACAATATAGAAACTTTGACATCAGTACTCAAAAGGATCTAGACACTTAGCAAGTGGATTGATAGAAGTGAGATCCACAGGTTGGTCATGGTAACTGGTAAGAATGGAAACAATGGCTGCACAATATAGAAACTTTGACATCAATACTCAAAAGGATCTAGACACTTAGCAAGTGGATTGATAGAAGTGAGATCCACAGGTTGGTCTGTAACAAGAATATTGGCAGGTCCTAGAAGCCAGGTATGGTGGATGGCAAAATCTGGGTCTATAACTCAGGCAAGGGAAGCCACAGATGCCATAATTCAGGGATCTGAAGCCGCTGGATCCACAGCCCAGGGAGTGGCAGCTTCTTGACCCAAAGCCCAGAGACCAAGGATAAGTCATCTGGCAGGGACTGCAGAGTGTGGAGGTCCTTGGGCGGTAGCAGGACATCTGGCAGCTGGTGGGCTCACAGCAGGTCTCCTGACAGCCACTGTAGAGAGAGTATCCCAGCTGGCAGGTGCTGGGAGAGCAGAGGTTCGTGCAGTAGATCAGATTGCTGGGGAAGGAAGAGCCACAGGAGGAGCCTGGCTGAAGCAGGTAGCTTCCAAGGGAGTGGGAGGAGAAGTTCCCAGAGAAGCAGCTATAGGACATATTGACAGGAGATTAAGTTCAGCTGAGTATATCTGAGAAGATTTTGAGTTTTAATGTCACCTGGACAGGGACGTTTATATATTCTCCATAATAGGTGTGATACCCAACAGGTTCAACCTTTACATATTTATGTTCCCTCATTTACATATGTGTAACTAAGTATTCTTCTTGTAATTGCAGTTATATTTGAATACTTTTCTGTGTATTGTATTAACAGATGCTATAATTTTGTTGTTACAGCCAAAGCCAATGAACTTCTCATTTACATATGTGTAACTCAGTATTCTTCTTGTAATTGCAGTTATATTTGAATAGTTTTCTGTGTATTGTATTAACAGATGCTATAATTTTGTTGTTACAGCCAAAGCCAATGAACTACTCCTATGTCAGAAATGCTATGACTATTTTACATTATGTATATCCCATTATGGCAAGGAAAGCCTTTCCTTTCCTCTGGCATGTGCTGCCTGCCTCTCCTTCTTTAATATTCATATTTGGCTTTGTTGGTGAATGCTTTCCTCCCAACATTAATTTTCTTCTGGTAAAATGAATCAGTATGTACCCAGATGGGAGCCTTCATGAAAACAGTTCACCTCACCATCATTACTTCCCATTCTCCAGAATTACTTTGTGGTAATTTGGGATGGCAGTAATAGAAAACTAATGCACAAAAGTACTATAATTATTGCAGTGTGTCTCACATCCAATGAAGTGACCAAAAACAGATAAAACAAAGAGACTGAGAGATTGCTAGAAACTGAAAGAGACCTTGCCATATATTTAAAGACAAGGTGATAAAAAAGGACACAATTGACACAGAGTCGCAGAGAAGATCAGTCTGGGCTCATCTCTAGACAGCCAAAGAGCCAAACACTTGTCTGATGAGGGAAGGAAATAAGTGAAAGAAAAACAAAGACTCAGGAATTTCCGACTTTTTTTGTTGCAGTCAAACTATGGTTTGTCTTATCATAATGTCTTCATAATCAAGACTTTTGAAAATTAGCATATTTTATGAATTTTGAGTCCTTCTTATCATTTACACTTATAATTATCCAGTGCTTCTACCCTCTAAGAATGTCTCTAGCTTTTCACAGTATAGGCTTTCAATGACTTTCTGCCACTTGCAAGGCCATGTACCACCCTACATTTTCCTGCCTAAATGTGAAGTTTCTTTCTTTCTCTTTTCCTCTGTAGAGTATATGAATGTTTCTCTCTCATTTTCTCTCTCTCTGTCTCACGCTGTTTCTCTCTCCCCCAATCAATTTTTTTTTGTTTACTGTGTTTGTTTGATTTTATCTTTTTTAATTTGTTATGCTTTATTAACTGTAGATTCAATGTTGAAAAAAATAGTTTGATAAATTTATCAAATTCTTAGAGTGTAACCAGCTACTTTCAACATTCATTCACAAAATATTCTATGTTGAAATACAACTAGTCAAATTATATTCAGGACCAAAAGTAGTGTACTGTCATCATTGATGGAAATATTTTCTTATTTTATTTTCTAATAAAATATAATAAACTTGGAATAATAATGTGAAACATATCAAATATTCTCAATGAAAATGTATGACAATTTAAAAATATATATTTTTAAGGATTTATTTAAAATTTGTTTAAGTAAAATTAAATACATGGCAATTTTTAAAAAAATTATCTAAAAGTAACATAATGTAGACCTTCTAGAGGGAAGAGGAATGAGAAAAGAAGTAAATACACCCAACTCAAATAGCTACTCCATGAGTTCTTTATCTTCTGTTATTAAAGAGCAGAATTTACTTCTCCTTACTTTGTGCCTCAGCACGTAGGTTAATTCCTTATCAATACAGTACTGTGAACACTATTTCCTTTCCATTTTTATTTTTGTTTTAAACACAACTCTTTAAAATAATCTTGAGGCAAAACTTAAATAGTGGGCCAGCCTGGCGGCGCGCTGCTACAGTGCGCCGCTTGAGAGCGCGGCGGTGCTCCTGCCGAGGGTTCGGATCCCACATACAGACCGGTTCCCGCTCACTGGCTGAGAAAGGTGTGGGTGCAACACTGAGGGTTGCAATCCGTTGCCGGACATGAAAAAGACAAAAAGGGAAAACTTAAATAGTAAATGGGGAGCATAAATTCCCTCACTGGCTGAGAAAGGTGCGGGTGCAACACTGAGGGTTGCAATCTGTTGCCGGACATGAAAAAGACAAAAAGGGAAAACTTAAATAGTAAATGGGGAGCATAAATTCATTAGGCAAAACTGGGGGATTTAGTGAATTCATCTTCAGTTACTCCAGTCTCCTTTATTCAAGAATCTGTCTCTGATTCTTCTCTGATCAGTTAATGTGAAAAGAGGTATTCTTCCATTCCTTTTGCCTCTATGTCTCTAAAACTTTGTCCACATTAAGTTGATACAAGTTTAAGAATAATTTGTAAACACCCCAATTTTGTAACAGATTAACCTAAGAGAATGTATTGGCTGTTTTGTAAAATACAGAACTCCATCACTTTTTTTTTTTGAGTAATTTATCAGTAATTAAAATTAGGATATTTCACATAATAATTATGACTTGGGGCTGTTGCATCTAAAGGCTTCTGATCTTTTAATTACAGATTCCCATCACTGAGATATAGATAAAATGTTTTTTGATATTTCAGGTGTGTTTCCAACAGAATCTCATCCATAGTTGAAAGGACAACTTTGGCACTCACCTACTTCTCGAAATTACCTGTCAACTTGTCACTAACAAGCTGGGGAATCTTGCTTTTACTAATTATCTAGTTTAGAACATCCGTAAGCAAAATCCAATACTTCTTAATCACAATGTATTGGTAATTATTGCCACAAAATAAGTTCTTTATTATTTCCAACATAAATGAGAGGGCTTTTGAATTCTCTGTTCTTGAAAATCCATTTATTGGAGAAAGATATCATGGCTGCTTTTTTTACATATGTCAAATGCAAAACTAAAGCACATTTCTCCCTGTAAATGTATTCTTGGTATTTTTCCACAGGGATTTCTTTTTATTAAAATTTTATTAAGTGGGGAAACATTGAAGATTTCTCAATAAGCATATACATGAAGCATCGGGTATGTGTTTTTCTGTAAATTGTCCAGAAACAATAGTTGAAAACATAGATTCAGATAAAAGTTTATTTGGGAGGTGATCCCCGTAAATACCTATAGGGAGTGAAAAAGTGTGACCGGGAGTGGAGGGCAGACAATACAAAGTGCATTATTATGCTAGGTACCGCTGTGAGCAACTGGAGTGCAATCCTACTGGTGCATTCCCTGCACAGGGCTCCGCACTGTCTTGTGAAGTTAAAATGTCCTTGGGCAGAGACTTACAGATGCCCCTGGTAATCAGTATTCAGCATGTACAGATGACTGCCTGTGGGATAGAGGCAGGCTATTGACTGGCGGCTGCTATTGGGGGTGGGGTGTCACTTTGATAATGCCTGGAAAGATAAAACGAAATGAAAAAAACAGAAAGGTATAAAAACATGTGATGAGTTTAGGCCACATTTTAACACAGTGTAAAGCAGGT